AGTTCGCAAAAAAATTTAATTTTTCTTAGGCCTACGATTTTATTGCATTTTCATGCACAAAATTCACATAAAAGTGTAGAAAAAAATTGACAGCCAAATACGAGTAGAGGAACACACCTATTACCACCAAAAAGTCATCCAACCCATAAATCCAAAATTACAAAAAAGTTCCCAAAAAAATTTAATTTTTCTTAGGCAGACGATTTTAATTCATTTTCATGCACAAAATACACATAAAAGTGTAGAAAAAAATTGACAGCCCGATCCAAGTAGAGGAAGACACCTATTACCACCAAAAAGTTATCCAACCCATAAATCCAAAATTACAAAAAAGTTCTGAAAAAAATTTAATTATTCTTAGGCAGACGATTTTAATGCATTTTCTTGCACAAAATACACCTAAAAGTGTAGAAAAAAATTGACAGCCAAATGCGAGTAGAGGAAGACACCTATTACCACCAAAAAGTCATCCAACCCATAAATCCAAAATTATAAAATTTCCCAAAAAAATTTAATTTTTCTTAGGCAGACGATTTTAATACGAATTCTTGCACAAAATACTCCAAAAAGTGTAGAAAAAAATTGACAGCCCAATACGAGTAGAGGAAGACACCTATTACCACCAAAAAGTCATCCAACCCATAAATCCAAAATTACAAAAAAGTTCCAAAAAAAATTTAATTTTTCTTATGCTGACGATTTTAATGCATTTTCTTGCACAAAATACACCTAAAAGTGTAGAAAAAAATTGACAGCCAAATACGAGGAAGACACCTATTACCACCAAAAAGTCATCCAACCCATAAATCCAAAATTACAAAAAAGTTCCCAAAAAAATTTAATTTTTCTTAGGCAGACGATTTTAATTCATTTTCTTGCATAAAATACACATAAAAGTATAGAAAAAAATTGACAGCCCGATCCGAGTAGAGGAAGACACCTATTACCACCAAAAAGTCATCCAACCCATAAATCCAAAATTACAAAAATTTTCCCAAAAAATTTAATTTTTCTTAGGCAGACGATTTTAATGCATTTTCTTGCACAAAATACACATAAAAGTGTAGAAAAAATTGACAGCCCGATCCGAGTAGAGGAAGACACCTATTACCACCAAAAAGTCATCCAACCCATAAATCCAAAATTAGAAAAAAGTTCTGAAAAAAATTTAATTTTTCTTAGGCAGACGATTTTAATGCATTTTCTGGCACAAAATACACATAAAAGTGTAGAAAAATATTGACAGCCCGATCCGAGTAGAGGAAGACACCTATTACCACCAAAAAGTCATCCAAACCATAAATCCAAAATTACAAAAAAGTTCCCAAAAAAATTTAATTTTTCTGAGGCAGACGATTTTAATACGAATTCTTGCACAAAATACTCCAAAAAGTGTAGAAAAAAATTGAAAGCCCAATACGAGTAGAGGAAGACACCTATTACCACCAAAAAGTCATCCAACCCATAAATCCAAAATTACAAAAAAGTTCGCAAAAAAATTTAATTTTTCTTAGGCAGACGATTTTATTGCATTTTCTTGCACAAAATACACCTAAAAGTGTAGAAAAAAATTGACAGCCAAATACGAGTAGAGGAAGACACCTATTACCACCTAAAAGTCATCCAACCCATAAATCCAAAATTATAAAAAGTTCGCAAAAAAATTTAATTTTTCTTAGGCAGACGATTTTAATACAAAATCTTGCACAAAATACTCCAAAAAGTGTAGAAAAAAATTGACAGCCTGGTCCGAGTAGAGGAAGACACCTATTACATCCTAAAATTTATCAAACCCATAAATCCAAAATTATAAAAAAGTTCCCAAAAAAATTTAATTTTTCTTAGGCAGACGATTTTAATACAAATTCTTGCACAAAATACTCCAAAAAGTGTAGAAAAAAAATGATAGCCCGATCTGAGTAGAGGAAGATACCTATTACAACCTAAAAGTCACCCAACCCATAAATCGAAAATTATAAAAAAGTTCCCAAAAAAATTTAATTTTTCTGAGGCAGACGATTTTAATGCAAATTCTTGCACAAAATACTCCAAAAAGTGTAGAAAAAAATTGACAGCCCAATACGAGTAGAGGAAGACACCTATTACCACCTAAAAGTCATCCAACCCATAAATCCAAAATTATGAAAAACTTCCCAAAAAAATTTAATTTTGTTAGGCAGACGATTTTATTGCATTTTCATGCACAAAATTCACATAAAAGTGTAGAAAAAAATTGACAGCCCAATACGAGTAGAGGAACACACCTATTACCACCAAAAAGTCATCCAACCCATAAATCCAAAATTACAAAAAAGTTCCCAAAAAAATTTAATTTTTCTTAGGCAGACGATTTTAATTCATTTTCATGCACAAAATACACATAAAAGTGTAGAAAAAAATTGACAGCCCGATCCAAGTAGAGGAAGACACCTATTACCACCAAAAAGTTATCCAACCCATAAATCCAAAATTACAAAAAAGTTCTGAAAAAAATTTAATTTTTTTTAGGCAGATGATTTTATTGCATTTTCTTGCACAAAATACACCTAAAAGTGTAGAAAAAAATTGACAGCCAAATACGAGTAGAGGAAGACAGCTATTACCACCAAAAAGTCATCCAACCCATAAATCCAAAATTACAAAAAAGTTCGCAAAAAAATTTAATTTTTCTTAGGCAGACGATTTTATTGCATTTTCGTGCACAAAATACACAGAAAAGTGTAGAAAAAAAATGATAGCCCGATCTGAGTAGAGGAAGATACCTATTACCACCTAAAAGTCATCCAACCCATAAATCCAAAATTACAAAAAAGTTCGCAAAAAAATTTAATTTTTCTTAGGCAGACGATTTTATTGCATTTTCGTGCACAAAATACACAGAAAAGTGTAGAAAAAAAATGATAGCCCGATCTGAGTAGAGGAAGATACCTATTACAACCTAAAACTCATAGAACCCATTAATCCAAAATTATGAAAATCTTCCCAAAAAAATTTAATTTTTCTTAGGCAGACGATTTTATTGCATTCTCTTGCACAAAATACTCCAAAAAGTGTAGAAAAAAATTGACAGCCAAATACGAGTAGAGGAAGACACCTATTACCACCTAAAAGTCATCCAACCCATAAATCCAAAATTATAAAAAAGTTCGCAAAAAAATTTAATTTTTCTTAGGCAGACGATTTTAATACAAATTCTTGCACAAAATACTCCAAAAAGTGTAGAAAAAAATTGACAGCCCAATACGAGTAGAGGAAGACACCTATTACCACCTAAAAGTCATCCAACCCATAAATCCAAAATTATAAAAAAGTTCCCAAAAAAATTTAATTTTTCTTAGGCAGACGATTTTAATGCATTTTCTTGCACAAAATACACATAAAAGTGTAGAAAAAAATTGATAGCCCCATCTGAGTAGAGGAAGATACCTATTACCACCTAAAAGTCATCCAACCCATAAATCCAAAATTATAAAAAAGTTCCCAAAAAAATTTAATTTTTCTTAGGCAGACGATTTTAATGCATTTTCTTGCACAAAATACCCATAACAGTGTAGAAAAAAATTGACAGCCCGATCTGAGTAGAGGAAGATACCTATTACAACCTAAAAGTCATCCAACCCATTAATCCAAAATTATAAAAAAGTTCGCAAAAAAATTTAATTTTTCTTAGACAGACGATTTTAATGCAAATTCTTGCATAAAATACTCCAAAAAGTGTAGAAAAAAATTGACAGCCCAATACGAGTAGAGGAAGACACCTATTACCACCAAAAAGTCATCCAACCCATAAATCCAAAATTATAAAAAAGTACCCAAAAAAATTTAATTTTTCTTAGGCAGACGATTTTATTGCATTTTCGTGCACAAAATACACATAAAAGTGTAAAAAAAAAATGATAGCCCGATCTGAGTAGAGGAAGATACCTATTACAACCTAAAACTCATAGAACCCATTAATCCAAAATTATGAAAAAATTCCCAAAAAAATTTAATTTTTCTTAGGCAGACGATTTTAATGCATTTTCTTGCACAAAATACTTCTAAAAGTGTAGAAAAAAATTGACAGCCAAATACGAGTAGAGGAAGACACCTATTACCACCTAAAAGTCATCCAACCCATAAATCCAAAATTATAAAAAAGTTCCCAAAAAAATTTAATTTTTCTTAGGCAGACGATTTTAATGCAAATTCTTGCACAAAATACTCCAAAAAGTGTAGAAAAAAATTGACAGCCCAATACGAGTAGAGGAAGACACCTATTACCACCTAAAAGTCATCCAACCCATAAATCCAAAATTATAAAAAAGTTCCCAAAAAAATTTAATTTTTCTTAGGCAGACGATTTTAATGCATTTTCTTGCACAAAATACTTCTAAAAGTGTAGAAAAAAATTGACAGACAAATACAAGTAGAGGAAGACACCTATTACCACCCTTAAGGAATCCTCTATTATGGAAAAATTCCCAAAAAATTGAAATTTTTTTTGTGGACCTAACAAAAAAAATTTTGTTGATCTAACATGAACCAAAAGTTCTGAGCGTTGAATTGAACAAAATATTTTTTTCAATCTATAAATTATTAAAAATTATATTGGCAATGTAAAGTAAAACGGTAAATTGAACAATTATTAAACTAATAACTGCTTTTTAGTATTTAAAACAAAATTTTGTAATAAAATTCTCACTTAAAGAAATTGCAAAAATAAAATTTTTCATTTGAACATTAATAACTTTTGGCTCATGATCTAACCAAACTTCTTTATTATGCTAACAAAAAACACTCAACCAAATATTTTGGTTGACTCAAACACATAGTTTGATTCCTTAAATACCAACAAAATTTTTTTTTTGTGCCAACCAAATTTTGTTTGCTCTGACTAAACATTTTTCTTAGTGTATTTTTTTCCTTTGATTTTCAAAAAATTTGAAACTTACTAAAGAAATTACTTTAAAAAATTTCTTTCTACAAGAATCTTTAATTATTTTTATAGACGTGTACCTATGTATATAAATAAATAAATAAAGTATAATAATATATTATATAAATATCTTGCACTATATCATCATTAAAACAACATTAATTCTTTTATTTACTTATCATTGCTCTAAGAACTGACAAAAATGACATGTTCACTTTGACAATCTGAAAGAAAATTATAAAAATTTAGCATTTTTTATTTAATAAATGACTGATATTGAAAATTTATCATATATAAATAATAATGTATTATGAATTATAGAATTATTTTTTTATACTTACTGCTGTAAAATTTTGTAATGTCATATCATAAAATCCTCCAGCTGAAATCATCATAGGATGTTGTGTTCTTAATATTAACAGAAAAATATTTTTCGATGATTTTACAGGTAAATTAGTCCAAAATGATTGATAAGCGGCCATTCCAACTTCTAAAGCCTGTAAGTCAATTATTTTTACATATTATTTCTATGAATGATCGAAATAATTCTGATAAAGTTGATATGACTTATTAATATTTATTTATAAAAATGTTTGGACGACCATATGTCGTGTTTGTGCATACGGAAACAACTTAAAGCAACTTTAGAGCAGAGTTTACGGTGCTAGCAAAAAATTCGCTATCATTGCAAATTTCTTCTATGCGCTCTCTCAATTTGAATCAATAAAATTTTACTGGTAAAATAGTTAGAAATCGGTTACTGAATCATTTAGTGAAATTATCCCTGAAAATCAGTCAAATTTCACTGATTTAAATTGAGAGAGCGTGTACCTGATCCATTAGTTCTTGGCCCGGCCAGCAGAATAAAAGAATCTGAAGAAAATTTGCCACTACTAAACCAAAATACGAAAATAGGTAAAAGAAATTCACTGGAGTTTCATTCAAAGTCTAGTAACAGAATAAAATAATAATAATAATAATATATTAATATTTCATTAAATACTTTATTTGCAATTAAATAATCAGAAGTTATTTAAGATTCCAAAAATTTACCACAATCATTTGAAATCCACTAAGACAATTAGCAACAAAACTTGTACCCAATTGATAAAAACAGAGTGTACTAAAGAGTTGATTTAATTTTTGAACATTCCTTTAAAAAATAAGTAAAATATTTCAATTTGAAAATTAATTTAAAATAAAAACGCAATTACGTCTCGTATGAATTCATTAAAACATTTAAATTATGTAAACCTGATTTGATAGTTGTGATTTACAATTAGTTCTTTTATTATTTTTTGTGATTTCTGTTTTGCACAACCCACTTTTTTTAATTGATCTTGCAAAATACCTAACTGAGCACAAGAATGCCATATTGCAACAAAAACAAAAGTATCCATTCCCAAATTGTAACTTACACCTAATCCGAGCGCCATTATTATCTGAAAATTAAATAGAACATTTTGTTTAATAGTGGGTGAATCTTTCTTAAGCATGTTTTTAATTAATCATTTTACATTTTTTTGACATTACCTAATTAAATTATTTTTTTAAATTAGAATATATAATTGAAAATGAAAAAAATTTCTACTTCTTCCTTGATTATTATTGTTGTAAAAGACAAAAATTATGTGCATAAAATTTCAATATAATATTTGGGATCTAAATGTTTTTTTATATTAAAAAATAAGTAAATTTACATTCTTTAAAAAATTTCTAATGCACCGTCAACCGGTCTGTTTTTAATATTTCGAAATAAATATTTTACAAATTAAAAACTATCATGTACCATAATATCCCCGATTGTTGGTACATAATTTCAAGTGGCGTCAAAATTTTATTTTCTAAATCCTCTAAATATTATTTTATATTCTCTAGGGAAATTTTTAAATTTAATAAAATGTAGCTGAAAAAAATTTGTCATCTTTAAACTATTAATTTACCTGAAGAAGGTAAGCAATAGCGTAAAAGAAATCTGAATTTTGATCCCAATAATACCAGGCACAAATTGGATAACGTTTTTTGCGAGCTGGATCGCTATCTGCTCCAAATATTAATGGCACACAAAACATCATAATTTCAAAGTAATAGACACAAATGAGAAAACATTTTGTCACTAGTCTTCCAAAACGAGCATGTCTAAGAATTATTTCTTTCTCTTCATCTGACGCTGTTTCACATAAAGAATGATCGAAATTGTATTTCATTATTTGTAACAATTCCTGTGAAGTGATAAAAATAAAATGATAATTTTTTCAAAATAGTAATACACAGCCACAAACAAAATTTCTGGCCTGGGGTTAAAATGTTTTTGAGGTCGTTGCACTTGGGTTTTTTTCTTGATTTCGATTCTAGATAATAAATATATTTATACCTTTATATCCTTATCTGATAAATTTCCTAAATTCGAAAGATTGTGCGATTCTATACAAAAACGCAATTGAAAAACGAAAATTGGGAAGTAATATATATAATAACATGTACGACTTTGTGCTCCCTGCATGCTTCTGCCATCTGATGGCGGCAGGGCGTAATGAACCTGTCATTATATTATTTTTTTCGTTTTTCTAGTAAATTATTAATTCTAGAGGAAATTGATAAAAACAAAAAAAAATCCTTTTTTGTATATCTACAAATTCCATCTGATGAAATTTTTTCTTAAATCAATATTTCTTGAAGAAAAGTTGAATTTTTGTCATTTTAAATTTTCAAATCGACTTTTTTCGAAAACGGCTCATCAGAGGATTTTCATTTTTATTGAAAAATTATGTATGTATTTATGATCTAAAATCGAAATCAAGAAGAAAATCCCAGTTGCCTGAAACTTTAGGTTAAATCGGTTTAAAAAGCACAGTGTGACGTGAGGAAAATGGATTTCAGATTCGGTTTCAGCAACCCGAAATATATATAGTAAACATATTCTGACCTTCAAAACTAGAAAAAAAACTTTTTAAAATTTGTTTGCTTCCTCGTGGAGAAAGCTTTGTAGTCCTTTCGTTTATAAAACTTTTCAAAGTGGCGGAAATAAATTTTTTTCTTTATAGAAACATGTTATATGAGATCCTGATCAATTGTCCGAATGTATGTGTGTGTGGATCCCTTTTTTATTTAGAAGATAACTTTAACAGGTTTTAATGGATTTAGATAAAATTTATGGTAGGCTCATTTATCATATTAATATCTCAAATCTGACCAAAGGATTTTGAAAAATACCCCAAAAAAAATTTTATCGTCTTTTTTCCAAAAATTTTTTTTTTATCGAAAAAAATTTTAAATAGAAAAATTTAAAGTTATATATAATAAAATCGTATTCCTTACGTCAAGACGAATCGATCGATATATATAAAGTATACATTTGAGGTAAATTTAAAGAATTAATGAAAGTTAAAAAATCAAAAATTCACGTTTTGACTATAAAATTTTGTGATTATTTAAATTTAAGTTTATAGATGAAATAATTGTATTCTTTGCATGAAAACGAATCGATTGGTATATATAAAATTTACATTTGAGGTAAATTTAATAAATTAATGAAAGTTAAAAAATAGAAAATACACATTTTAGCTGAAAAATTTTTATATTTATTTAAATTCAAGTTTAAATATAAAATAATTGTGTTCCTTGCATTAAAACGAATCGATATAATTGTAAATAATTATAAATTATATATTATTTTTCATTAATATTTAGAAATTTCGGTTAAAATATGAAATTTTGATTTTTTAACTTCCATTAATTCTTTAAATTTTACTCAAATGTATAGGTACTCTAATGTTTATATATTATTATATTATTTTTGTATGTTTATTTCATTGTTAATGCTTTCTCCACGAGGAAGCAAATTTTTTTGCTGATCGTAAAGAGGAAGCAAAATGTTCATTACATGAACATCTGAATTTACAACTTGTTTCTGTGGTTAAGTAATATAAAGGTATACAATACAAAAATTACTCATTATGTATAAGAACCTTAAAAACAGTCTGATTTGTAGCAACATGTGTATACTTTAGACACACGGAAAATGCGTGAATTGTCATACACAAATTCTGAAAAAGGGCATAACTATTACCCCAAACAATGTAAATATCTAATATCGTGGGTAAAAAAAGTAAAATCCATAAGAAAACAGTGAATATAAATAAATGAAATTTATGAATATAAATTTTCCAAGGTCCATCATTTTCCTGAGTTGGCCAGAGGCCAATTAATTTTAAATAAAGTTTATTGATGTAAATGTAATCTTCAAATTTCTCTTTTGCCATAACTATACAATACTTTGATCTTAATTTTTTAAAGATCTAAATTTATTTTTAACTTTATAGTTTTATAAAAATTTATATATATTTAAAAAAATCTGTGGACAGTTAAATATTGTATATTTTTTTGAAAATACTTTTTTCAAACAATATTGTGAATTGTTATTTTGAAAAATGTACTCTTTTGCAAATAATTTTATATCTATAATGACAATATTCAAATAATAAAGCATGCGCATGTACAATATATTCTTCGTTATATACAAATAATAAAATATAATTCTATGATTGACATTTGAAACAAAGATTATACTTAAGTTTCTATAGGATTTTTAAATATTCAGAAAAACAAAAGTCCCTTTTCGATATATGACAAAAGGCGGAAATTCTAAGTTTCTATTAAACGACAACCCATTATTATCTATAGTCTTTTTATATTTTTTTATACTTTGTAGAAATACACTAATTATATAGGAACAAAAGCTGATTCGAACATCAAAACAATTTAATCAATATGACTTTTTATATTATTCATATAACATATACGTGGACGTATTTCTCTGGATAAAAATAAGATAAATTATATATATGTAAAAAAAAAATAGTATAGCAGAACCCTGGATTTCGTATACCAATTTCTATATGAAATTTCCACATTTCCGTATTATCACAAGGTGGTATTTAAAAGCGATTTTTGTTGCGCTTTTAAAGAAAAAATATCGTACTTTATAACGAATATATAAACGAACGAAATTTAATTTAAAAAGTGTAAGAAAATTATAAAAAAAAAATATAAATTAAAAGAAAAACAGATTAATTTATCCATATTTGTTGACGTTTAAAATTTCAAATTAGTCCGCCATTTGTGTCGTCAACACAAACGGAAAGAAAATTTAAAAATGTGATTTTTAATTTCCTGACGTCGAGATAAAAAATCGAATTCGGAAAATTTTGATATTACAATATTTTCTTCATGAGAAAGCAAATAAAGGAATTAAAAATTTGACACTTAATTAATAGAACGTCATTTTTGATAAATTATATATTCCCGAGAGAGTATCCCACAAATTTAATTTTTCGAAATTATTTCCTAAATTGTTTTCTAATGTACCTCAGCATCCGCTGGATCAATCAAAAAGTGCGCCATACATTTTTTGTTCAGAACTGTCTTCTAATTACTTTGGTAGTGTTCCGGAGCGGTTATCTCGAAAATTTAATTTTACGAAAATTTTTCTTAAATATAGGTGAGTGTAGCTCAGCATCAGCTGGACCAATCGAAAAGTGCAATTTTCTTGAAGTTTTAAAAAATCCCAAATTTTTTTTTGAGTGTAGCTTAGCATCCGCTGGATCAATTAAAAAATGCGCCATACATTTTTTGTTCGATACACGGAGAAAAATTTATTGGTACTGATTACAATAGTAGAACATTACTGCTCGGATATGTGGCCATTTTTTGTAACGTTTACAAGAGCTTTGTTATTTACCTATCATTCCTCAAGTTAACTGTACTTATTACGAATTTATTTAAAATAAATACAAAGTAAATCTTGCCCTTAAGGTGAAAATGATTTTATTGGTTGAAATGGCGCGTGTTAATTTTAAATACCTATTATTATGTTGTGCTTTTCCATAATGCAGGGCCATAATGTTTCAAATTAGAAAATTCAATGTAAATAATTATCATGTAATTAATTTAATTTATATATTAAAATTAGATGAATAATTTTCAATTTATGTGCTGACATACCTCGTGTCCACTAACCGAAAAATAACCACTATGTATATTTATAATTCAGGATTATAAAAAATTACTTAATTTTAATAACAGGATGTAAACTGGTCAAAAAACAAGTTAATTAAAATTTTTAGATACCTTGAAAATTTTTTTAAATTGATTTTATTATATTTTATTTTTTTAATTTTATCGATTTATTTTATTAAATAATATATTTATTATTATTACGATTTAAAGATTCGGGTTTCTTCGTAATACGTCGGCTACCATCGGCTTTGAGAACTCTTACGAGCGTACACGAGTATTGCACGAGCTCTTACGAACCACTACACTAATCGTAACAAAGTAAATAAGAATCATTTTTAAAAAAATTTTTATTTTCAGCCACTATGGCATAGCTCGGTTTTACTGCAGACTATTGTAATCAAAACATTTCTATACGTGAACGCTTATAGTATTCCTTCTCAATCAATACAATTAAAAATGTAATGATTCCAAAAAATATATTTCAATACGAGTACTGCAGTGCTTGCATTCGTTACAACAGCTACAGTAATAGCTTCTACTCAACTTTTTAAAGCATAACACAGTTTTTGTATTCATTACAAAAAGTTGTCACTTATCCGAGCAGTAATATAGACTATTGTAATCGGTACTAATAAATTTTTCTCCGTGTACCTTTTTCTAATGACTTTGGTTGTATTCCAGAGCCATTATTTCGAAAATTTAATTTTTCTAAATTTATTTGAGTATAGCTCAGCATCCGCTGGACGAATCAAAAAGTGCGCTATACATTTTCTGTTCGAAAGTTTTTGACTATTTTATTGGTGGTATTCCGGAGCAATTATCTCACGAATTTATTTTTTCCAAAATTTTTCCAAAATATTTTTGTGTGTAGCTCAGCATCCACTGGGCCAATCAAAAAGTGCGCCGTACATTTCTTGTTCGAAACTTTTTCCCTATTTTATTGGTGGTATTCCGGAGCGATTATCTCGCAAATTTAATTTTCCTAAATTTTTTCCAAATTTGTTTTCTAGTGTAGCTCAGCATCCGCTGGACCAATCAAAAAGTGCGCCATACATTTTTTGTTCGCTACTTTTTGCTCATTTTAATGGTTGTATTCCGGAACTATTATCTCGCAAATTTAATTTTTTGAAAATTTTTCCAAATTTGTTTTCTAGTGTAACTCAGCATCCGCTGGACCAATCAAAAAGAGCCCCATACATTTTTTGTTCAGAACTTTCTTCTAATTACTTTGGCGGTATTCCGGAGCAATTATCTCGCAAATTTAATTTTTCGAAAATTTTTTTAAAATGTTTTAGAGTGTAGTTCAGCATCCGTTGGACCAATTAAAAAGTGCGCTATATATTTTTGGTAGACAACTTTCGTGTTAAGACTTTGATGCTATGCCGGAATGATTATTCCGACTAGAAGGCTAGAATTAAAAAGAATTAAAAAAATCAATTCCATTTAATTCCTCATTTTTTTGTTATTTTGTAAGTCTATGTAAGGAATAGACAGCAGCAAACTTGAATCCCTTTTAATTTTGTTTTTTGTAAAGCGACTATTTTATATTCAATGCATAACCTAAAAAAATGTTGAGACAATATATGTTTAATTTTTGTTTCCTCACGTTTCAATTTATTAAAATTTTTACCAACATCATATTTACTGTAAATTATTTATTATTTTCACATTGAACAGAAAAAACACAACAAATTTATTCACTTTTACTTTTAAGGATTTTTCAGGGGGTGGTGCGGAGTAAGGGGATAGTTTCTATTCTTCTTTTGTGAAGGCTCACAAGTTTGCAACCTTAGAAAAAATAAATTTTTATTTGATAAGTAAGGTTCTTGTCCTTATTGATAGGAGAATTGTTTAGAAAAAGGTGTATAAATTAATAATAAGCTTTCCTCGTTACTAAAATATTGTAAATTCTATTTAATTAAATTTTTAAAAAGTGCTTGAAATCAGGGCAACGTCGCATTCTCGTCGCGTAGTTTATGTAATGTTGGTAAGACTGGTCTTTGTATGTATATATATGTATGTAACACAGATTGGGCCTACATCTGATCTGACAGCTAACCTCAAATTTTTTGTTATATGTTATTATTTAATTGTTGAACTTCCATAAAACACTTAAAATTGAAATGAAAATAAGATTATTTACTTATAAGAAATTTGTAATATAAGTCGTTCACCTCAAAATTTGAAAATAAAATGTAAAATATAAATAGTTTATTTATTATACTTTATTTCAATTTGCATAATAATTAGTAAACAAATATCCAATTAAATAAAACTGTGATTGTAGTAGTTTTGAACTATATTTTATTTTGACAAAAATATTTAATTATAATTTGAGGTTATGTACGTGTATTTTTATCACTCTTTTTGTTTTCCAATAATTAATTAGAATTAAATTTATATAAACTTTCAAATTAAACATAACATACAATATTCTATTAAAATTGCATTCTCGAAACACGGACGCTTTTTACAAAATCGGCCAAAATACCAAGGATCATTATCTTATAAATTTCCTAAATTCGAAAGATTTTGCTAATACATACAAAAACGCGATTGCAAAACGAAAAGTAGAATAGTAATATAATGATAGGTTCATTACGTCCTGCCGCCGTCAGATGGCAGAAGCATGCATGGAGCACAATGTCGCAGCTGTTATTATATTACTTTCCTACTTTTCGTTTTTGCAATCGCGTTTTTGTATAGATTTGCACAATCATTCGGATTTAAGAAATTTGTAAGATAAGAATCCCTGATATTTTGGCCGATTTTGAAAAAAAATATTTTAAAATCATCTTTCTTTTCTTATAAAATAAGAATTTTTCTTTCTCCATGTAAAAATGAAAAATTGGTACATAACACTAGAGTGACACCTTATTTGATTAATAATGTGAAAAAATAAGTATAATTATTCTTTTCAAACTTTACAGGAATAATCTACAATATTTGAAATTTCATATTGGTAAGCTTATAAAAATAATTTTTATTTTTTCAAGTTCAGTACAACAATTTCAAATTTATTAGACATTTTATTATCTGTTATTTTAATTTATTATAATTATAAATTTTTATAAATAATCACTAATAAGAATAAAAAATAGATTAAAATAATTATTATACATTTTATTTCCAGCAATTATATTGCAATTCCCAATAATTATTATATTATATAATTATTATAACTAGTGAGTCATATTAGAAAAATAGGTAAAAATATTTTCAATTGTTTTAGTTACATCTTGAAAAAATGTCGAATCATCGTTTTCATTTTCCGGCATCATTTTGCGACTATGTATTCGATGTTCTTTTGACGGTATAAATTTATCGTAAACTTTCTCCATACTCATTAACGATTCTAAATTATTTTTCATACTATCAACTGTTGTAATTTCTTTTTTTGTTGTTGAATTTTCAATTTCATCACTATCAAAAATTTCAATGGCAGAATTTTCAACATTTGTTTCTTTGTCATTTATTTTTTCCGTAATAAAATTATCGGGACAATTTATTAATGATGATTCCAAAGAATTTTCACTATTTTCAAGGAGATCAATGTTTTCTTTTTTATTCTCATTAAATGAATTTTTGTCAATTACTTGATTGTCGTTAATTGTATTTTTTTCAGTTGTTTTTATAATATTATCATTGGCTTGACGACGAAAACGTCGAATGAATTGTACAGGTGGAAAATATTGTGGAACAGGATTTATGTGATCAAATTGAAAATTGTAATTATTTGGAAATTCCTGGACAGTTGGATTTGGATGATAATTTTCGTAATTAGGTGGTGGTGGTGGTGGTGGTAGAAAATCATATAATGGATGAATATAAGGATAATTTAAATACATTGGATATGTATCTTTAGATAAAATTGGATAATCTTCAGAATACATGTCATATTCAGGTTCATTTACTTTATTCTTTTTTTTCTTCTTTCTTCTTCGTTTCTTTGACGATTTTTCAGAATCTTCAGAATTTTTAACTTCATCATTTTCTAAATTTGTATAATCATCATTTTCTGCATCTCTTCGTTTACGTGAGTATTTTTCTTCATTTTTATCAATAAGTTGATATTCTGCATTATTTATGAGATTCTCATCAATTTTGTAATCAGACATTAATGATTCGTCGAATTTAGCTGATCTAGACTTTCTTTTATATTTATTGTCCTTGTAATTCCAATTTTCATCTTCTTCAGATGAAAGTTCATCGCTTTCTTCATCGTCGAGAGTATTAACAATTAGTTCCTTTGTTGATGGATACATTTCAGAGGGATTGTTATATTCAAAAAATACTGATGCATAATTTCTTAGATAATTTATAAAGAATTGCGTGAAAGATTGTAGTAATTCAACTTCTTTAGTAAATGAATTATTAAATTCCTCTTCATCACAATCTTCATTTTTTATCAATTTCAATAAATTGGATAATTTTGGTAATTTTATTTCTCGTTTTATAAAAGAATTTCTTTGTTGTATGTTTTTTAAAGAATTGAAAATATTTGAAAACCTTGTCTTGAGATCACTATCAACAGTGCTTAGTGTGTTAATTAAATTTTTCACACTACTTTCATCATTTATTTTTCTAAGAAAATCCAGTGAATTTGATTTGTAATCATCTAACATTTCATCATAGCTTACACGTATATTATTTTTTATTTTATTTAATTGTTCTTCACTTTTTTCAATTAATTGTCTATCGCCTAATATATTTTTTAAGGAATTTGAAGTTTGTATTAATTTTAAATTTTCAATGCTTTCTTTGAGCTTTTGCAATAGTTCTCCATTACGACTTTGTTCCATTGATGTTTCTCTTTTAACGGTAAATGGTCGAAGAGTTTTCAATGAATTTGTCAAACCTTGTACTGTTGAACGTAATTTCGATAATGCATCGGCTGCTCTTTGTCTTAATTGAATAGCATTTATAGTTAATGGAGGTAATAAATTTATTGGGGATAATTTTAACATTGGTATTGGATTTAGTAATTTATTCTCATCTGGGGCTTTCATTCCCATAACTGGGAAAATTTGTCGTACTCTTTTACGTGAAGGACTTGAGGAATTTGGAGAATTGAGGGAAGCAATTTTTTTTGTATATTTATTTGCTCGTGCCTCACGATTAATGGATATTTTTTCTGTCGATGATTTTGTGTTGATTTCGGGTTTTGCTCCAACTGGTACAAGAGGAATTGGTTCAGTTGGATTTGATTCCGTTGGATTTGAATCTACTTGGAGATTTTTTTCCATTATTTTGTATTCTCGTTTAACTTTTCCATATTGATTAGTTTCTGGAATCTTTTCGACAATATCAATTACATGTGCTCCGGAACCATCTTCAATGGAAATTTCATCCTTGGCTATCGTTTCATCGGGATCAATGATGATTACTTTTTCGGGATAAAGTGGTAATTCTTCTTCTTCTTCTTCTTCGTTCTTTGGAGTTTTAACTTTTCTGATAGTTCGATATTGTTGATTATTTTCACCTTCACGAAACATTTCTTGATTTAATAATTTATCCATATTTTCAACATCTCTTTTTAATCGTTTCATTTGTTTTTTTTCCATGACTTCTTTAGAAAGTGTTACTTGTTTATTTTCATCAGGTAGAAGTGATTTAAGTTCTTTCGATAATTCGATTAGTTCTTCAGTTGCAAAATCCTTCATTTCTTCTTTTTGAAGAAGATGCGACAATATTTTCACTTGCTGTTTGTCAACTTTTTTTTCCTCATGAAATCTGCATGCCTTGAACTATTAAAAAAGTATTTTGTTTTAAATTTGCTAATTTATGTTTTAATTTGATTGTTATATAAATAGTAAATAGAAAGAAATTAAATACCTTTAAATTTGGAATCACCCAAAAACCTATTCCTCCAGATGGGAGATTTAAGGAGACACCTTTTTCATCTTTTCTCTTAATTGGTTCAATGTCTGGTATTTCATTTGAATTTTTCAATTCTAAAAGCTTGTTATTCAAAAGAACAGTCCTGGAATTATTTTGTTATTAAAATTATTAATTATTAATTAAATTATATATTGTAGAAAATAAAATATTTAGCAAACATACTTAGAAAACATTCGATTTGAAGTATCGAATCCTGGCAAAAGAATGTAATCATGTGCTTCTTTGATTTTGAGTCCTTTAAAATTTGCTATAATTTTATAAGGAGTTAAGTTAATTCCAAAAATTGTGAGAGATCCCTTTTTATATTTTAAAGATGATTTTGTACATTGACAGAAGAACTGAGTATGAGTTTCATTTCCCGATTGGACATTTAAATTAAAAACTTCAGGACCAACCAAAGTCTTGTGTAGTAATGACACCCAAAAGTCCTAAAAATTAAATTAAGCAGTCAATTTTTTACAATTTCAGATTACACGATTATTTTATTTTGAAATTGGTTTATTGTTAAAATTTTTTTACAACCATTTTTTAATTTATGAATAACTTTAATTATCATAAAAAAATTAATTACAGTTGTAATAAACAAGGTAAAAATTATATGATAAAATAAATATAAATGATATTTTATCGAAATTTTTAATTTTTCCTTCAATTTGATAAATTTAATGAAGTTAATTTCTATTTGGATTATTAAATTAGATTTCAAATTTAATTCCAATATATTAGTTAAATAGTGTTTAGAGCACGTTGTGTATAAACTGATTAATATATTATTACCGGAGTTGGTTTGAATAAATTTGAATTGTCGGGCTGCCTCATCAAAACTTGAGCACCAACTTTGGCTGCATTTCCAAGTCTTCTAGCCCAAACAAGTGCACCGATAAATTGATTCTTGCATTTCTCTTCTTTCGATTCAGCTGGAAGTTTTTGAATTAATTTGATTAAAAAAAAATCTTGTATTTTTAATTGTTTTAATTTCTTTTAAGTAATCAATTTGTTGAAAACTTTACAATTATAGTTCTTTTTGAATTACAATTAAATAATAATTTTTTATTATTATCATTATTAATAATTTATTTTTATAAATGATATTAATAATTAAAAAAATATCACCTATCCATAAGGGCTTTTCTAATATTGATTGTCCAGTGGCTTTTTCCAAATTTTTCTTCTCAATCAATAGATTTTCTTCACGAATTATTACTTCATCATTATTCAGAGAAATTTCATCAAAATCTCTGTAATCAATCAAAAATGATGTCTTAACTGTTTTTTTAACCTTTAAACTTCTATAATTTTTCTTTTATTACTTTTTTTTATACTACGCCTACGATAGAAACTTTAGCTTTTCAGTATTGCTTCATATTTTATAAAATAAAACTGTTAGGTGATAATTGTGTCAAAATTTAAAATTCGTTACATTTTATAGTGTAAATGAAAATGTCGTATTCGTGTATAGCGGTTTGTGATACCGGCATTAGCCGTAAGTGTCGTAAGTGTAAGTAAATTCTTGTATAATGTAACTTCTGCGCATCTTCGTGCACAACCAGTTCTGTCAGTCATCATTTAGTCATTGTTTAGCACCTAGCAATTTAACCCCTTGACAATCCATGGTCCATATATGTCCAGAAAAAAGTCGTACCATCTTTATGATTTTTGACATATATGTCCACATTAGAAAAAAAATACTAAACATAATTCGATTTGAGTGTCAATGGGTATACTAAGGTTTTTTGGGGTCGCTGAATCAGAATTTGATGTCAGATTTACAAAATTCAAAATGGCGGACCCAATCTGGCGTACAAAAAAATTTTAAATTGACCAAATTTGCATGAAAATAGTTCCTTTAGGGTTTTTGGGATCACTGAATATAAATTTGAGGTCAGATTAAAAAATTCAAAATGTCTGATCCAGCATGCCGACCAAAATTTTAAAAATTTACCAAATTGATATTGATATTTTAAATTTATTCAAAAGTAAAACTTTTTGATTCCGCTCTTTGCCGAACCCGGAATTACGAACGAGGACCAAATTTTGAACGAATCAAATCAATTTTAAATTTTTCCGCCATATTGGGTCCGTCTTTTTGTATTATTTAAATCTGACGTCAAATTTGGGTACAGAGCCCCAAAAACTTTTAATACGACCGAAGATTTAATAAATATTGATTAAATATTTATTTTCAATGTTCGCAGTATTTAGAATAAAGGTTAAGTAAAGCTTCTGTAAATATTTAAATGTCCGCACTTCAGCAAATGTTTAGCGCAAACCTTGAGTGGATCTTGAAATAAAATATTCGTTAAAGGTTCGGCTCGAAACTTGAGTGAAGCTTTAAATGAAATATTCGTTAAAGGTTCAGCTCGAACCTTGATTGAAGCTTGAAAAAAATATTCGTTAAATGTTCGCCCAGATAGCTGGATTTTAAAATTATCTAATCATAAATTATTAATTGTATTAATAATAATAATATGATTAAAATAATTATATCTTTAATTTGAATCAGTTTAATGAATAAATTGATTTAAGAAATTTTAGTTTTCAAAAATGAAAAAAAAAATAATTTATTAAATTTAGGGACTCATACTTGATTAAACAATTATCGAATAAATATTTATTTGTATCAAATAATAATTATTTGAGTCAATGAAATGGTATTTGTTTCAGATACAAAAATTATTGGTACAAGTACCTACAATTTATATTTAATTTAAATAAAAATTATTTGGCTCAAGTAAATATTTATTTGATAATAGTCAAGCAACCGATTATTTGAATAAAATAATTTTTTTTCAGTGTGTTTATGTACAAAATAAATACTAAATAATAATCTTATAAAATATATTTTAATTATTTAGAAAAGACGTTGTCACGATCAAAATTCTCCGTCCGTGTAATAAATACAGACTTCCGCTTCAATTTTTTTTTTTTATAATTTTGACTTACGGATGCCATGTTACTGATGAAAGTGCAGATCCAGCCGTATTGAAATAATCGTTCAAATATTGTTGTTGATTTTTTGTTTGATATTCAATCACATCCGGTCCAACAATAAGACTCGTTGAATATCTTGGAAATTCATTGAGTATCCTTCGTAAATGTTTAACTCCTTGTCCTAAATTTTCCCCAGGAAAATCGCATCTCGATTGACATTCTGTGGATGTTATAGTTCGATCGTTAATTTTTATAGCATGCTTTGTCATCAGAATTGCATAACGATTAACCAACATAAATTTTAAATTGATCAATATTGCAAAATAAAAAAAATATAATATTTTTTTTCATTAAAAAAACTTTTTCTTTTTAACTATATATATATATATATATATATAATACAGTACAATTATTATATATGTATCTAATATAGGGGAAAATTTTTTTTGTAAAATTCCATTTTTCATGAATTTTTTTTTAACTTTGAGTAAAAAGAAAATGGAATGTAGGAAAATTTTTATAAAAAATTTTTTTAATGATAACTAATATTATTATCTTTTTTTGTAATAGTATCTTTTTACCATATCCAAGCTGCCAACTTGTATTGTAACCCATTTGATCACTAAAAGCGATTGCATTCCAAAGTTGTGATCCATTTTCACTATTTTCATTGAATTGTTGTCCAATGCATGTGATTAAATTCAGACCCGATTTTTCTGCCCATTGATTAATCACGTTCAAAATATTCTCTACACATACGAATGTTAATTTAACAAAGTTCAGAAAAAGAATAAAATTACTATTTAATTTTTTTTAATTAAAAAAATAAATAATTAATTAATTAATTAATTAAATATATTGAATAAAAAATTAAGAATTAACCTACTTAAGAATTATTTATTTAAGAAAATATACTGACTAATTATTTTTTTATTTATTTATGAATTATTTTATTTTGTATATTTTTATGAATTAATACTCATTTTTAACTTTAATTGTTATATGAACTTTATTTAACTTGAATTTTATTCATTAGTTACTTTTTCTTATTAAAAAAAAAAAAAAAAAAAAATTTCATTCACTACTTACCAGTGAAGTTCTGATTGGAAATTGTTTGATTGTCCTGAAGAAATTGTTCATTTTCAAAAGTAAAAGAATTACTTTGTGTTCCAGCAAAACGAACATAAGCAGGTGAAAAAGCTTTTGCTATGTTAATACTTTTTTCCAAATTTGAACTATATTTAAACAGAGAATCGAAAGTTTCAAAAAATTATTTAAAAATAAAATAAAAAAAAATTATTATACAAAATAAAACTAAATAAATTAAAATGAAAAAAATAATGTTAAAATTTAACTGAATTTCTTTTGTCTTAAAAATATTTTTTGCAATTTAAAAAAATGCATAAATTTACTCTTTCGTATTTTTTTTTCATTAGGGTCAGTCGGGGTAAATCCGAACGGGGGGTAAATCCGAACGCTAATTATTTCAGCTTAATTAAAATTTTTAAAAATAAGTTCGATATGAGAATTTTTACCTCAGATCCTCTTGAAGAGATTCTAAGTATTATCCCATTTTTTGTTTGTTAATTAGCAACAGCATAAACAAAGATAACAAGTATTGCAAAAAAGATTGAAAATCAAAGATGACACTCTTTCAGTATTTTGTCTCGTATTTCAAGAAAAAGAAGCTAAAAATTCATTTTATTATTTATAATTGTTTGTTATGAATACTAGAACAGAAACTATATTTGATTTTTGCCTTCTGTAAAATTTTATTAATAATATCAGACCGTTCGTATTTACCCAAGAAAATTGGAAAACTGGGGTAAATCCGAACGGTATTTTTAATAATTTTTTTTTACATCAAAGCCACACAAAATTGTTTTTATTTGATTACACTATTATTTTAACATTATAAAAGTACATAGAAAAAAGTTTTTCTTTCTATACGTATCCTCGTTAGTAATTAATAAGCAGAAACTTAATCTCTGTTCTCTCGAAGGAGTGTTTCAATTTTTTTGCCAAATGGTTTGTTGAAAAAAGTTTTTCAGGATCTTAATAAAATTTGGTATTCTACGGTTTTTGGGGTCGCTAATTACCAATTTGAAGTCAGTTTTTCAAAATTCAAAATGGCGGACGAGAATTAAAAAATTCATTGGATTCGCTCGAAAATTGTTACTCGGGGGGTTTCAGGGTTAGCAAATTTGATGATTTTTAAAAATAAGTTTTAGGAAAGTCCGCCATTTTGAATTTAAAAAATTTGACTTTTATTTTTGTATTTACATTCAATCACTCCAAAATACTTTTTGTACCAAGTTTTGCAAAAATCCGTTATGATTTGATAAAGTTATTGAAGGTTTTAATTGTGTAATGCATTTTAATTTTTAACCTGTTTGATTTTTGTATTTATATATGATGCATTATTACATAATAGGTTTATATCGTATTTTCCCTAAGATTTTTCTGAAATACAGTGGCGTTCGTATTTACCCCCATATTTTAGGAAAGTTGCAAAGTATCGAGGTAAATACGAACGCTAAGTTTCCTGCGATTGTAATTTATCAAAAATTTTTTCTACCCCATAAAATTGTTCTATGGAAGTAAAGTAACAACTTCATGCACCAGAATACCGGAAGTATTGTCTTTTAAAAGAAAAAACTTATGTTATTGTTGAAACTTACTAAAAGCGTTCGGATTTACCCCAGTTGACCCTAAATATGTTTCAATAAACATTCAATTTACGTTTCATTAGAGGCAAGAAAATATGATATTTTATTATATCTAAAATGTTTAATGACTATGTTATAAAATATAAAAGCGGTTTTTTGTAATTTATTGGCAAATTAAAATTGGTCAAGTAAGGGTTGAATAAAACGAGGATTTACGCTTGTAAACGTGAAGTAATCCTCCACACAAAATTACTATGCAAGAGGTTTATATATCCTTTTTTTTAAAAAAAAAAAAAATTTAATATTGACTATGGACGTCAACATAAAATTTGTTTATTACTGAATTTATTATCATATAAATTTATCTTCTCTAAACTGACCTTAAAAAATTGAATTTCAAATCGCCAGAGAAAATCCACGCTGGATCCAATGTAAAACTGAGAAATTTCTCACTTGTAATAGAAATTGGTCGTTTTGTGTTTAAATTTAAAATCACATCCTCAGCCAATGAATGGCAAATTAATGAAAAAATAAAAATTATCCTAAACCACATATTTTCCGTAAATTTATTTTTTTTCATTTTTAATTAATTTGGAGAAAATTGAATTAGAATTGTGAAATAAATTATTTTTAAAAACGATATTTTGTTTATATATTTTAATCACAATAGTGATGAAATAACATTGTTTTCTAATTTTTTTTTTTATAATTATTCACTATTTTAATTATTTGCACTTAATTAAAAAAAAACACATAAATTTTTTTTAACAAGACGAGCTCTTGTAATTTACACTTAATCGATTGAAGTTCTTTTTTCATCTGTGAAATTCTGACAAAAATTAAAAGTGCATGAAAAACAATCATCAATATCGAAATTCGATTGTGTAATTGGAATCTCGTTAACGTTGTGTAAATTATAAAAGAATCTAGGTTGCGACCTCCTTTGATGTGCAATATTTGCAGAAAATTATTTTAAGAATTAAATAATTTTTATTTAAAATTTCAGTTACAAAAATCTTTTAAGAAATGTTTTCAAAATACAATGATATTTTTAAATTAAAATAAAATAAAAAAAAGAATAATTAAAAATATGCACAATAAAAATTATTTACAAATAATTTTGTCCATTTATACAAAAGTTTTTAAATTAAAATTTAATAAAAGCATTTTATCATTTAAATTTTTTATAAAAAAAAAAATTTTTGTTTTATTTTTTTTTAAATATTAAAAATCAAAGTATAAAATGTCAAAATAAAAATATTTAAAAAACAAACAATATGGAAAAATCGTAAAATATAAGAATAGAAATATTCAAAAATTTCCAAAATATAAAATATCTAAAATTAATTATGAAGAATGTGAACAATAAATAAACAAAAAATTGAAATTTAATCATTGAAAACCGTTTTTTTATTCATCATTAAACTTTTTTTTTTGCCTTTGTAGTGTTATTATTGAATTATAAATTAAAATATAAAAAAAATAGTTTTAAAAATACGTTTCGACATTTCACATATATGTCATTATCAATACATCTGTAATATTATCCTTTCTTTAAAAAAGACAGTGCATGCAAAGCACATGAAAATGTATCGAAATATCTCGATGGTAGAAAAAATGAACTTTGCTATCCAGAGCATCTAAATGATCTAAATCAATATTAATTTTATGAAAATCACCTTAAATTATTGTTCCACATATATATTTTGCATAACTTATACTTAATTGCAATAAATATACACTTGCCAAAGCACGCAAAGCATTTATTTGTTGTAAATGTTTGCAGCTGTTATGAATCAGAAACGAACATAACCTATACATTTAATTGAAATCATCTGATTGGCCCAAGACAAAATAACGCGCGCTTTTTTAAAATAATGAAACTTTTTAAATTATAATAAAATAATTGATAATAAATTAAATTATTATAAAAATAATATTACCTTTAATAAAAAAATGTTTTCAGTTTAAAAAAAATAGTTATTTATGATACAAGTGCTATTATTATTTTCAGACAAATTTTACAAATAATAGATTATTATTTTTCTGTTTGAAACTTTTTATATATAATTACATGCCATTTTGCATTTTGTTAACAATATTATTAAATATTTAATAAAATAATTGTAATAAATTATGAAACATAAATTGAAAATTAAATTGAATAGACAAAGAATAGAAGCAATGGAGACGACCAAAAAGGCCGTCGGAGGCGCTAGTTTAATTAAATTTATAACATTTTATAGATTTTATATACATTCGTGGCCAGATATGCCTATATATTTTTGCCCTCTTCTAACGCACGTGTTGCCATGACAACATGTGAGTTAGAAAAGGACAAAAATGTGTAGGCATATCTGGCCAAAAGTGTACCAGCACAAAATTTCATAATCACTTAAAACATTTATATAGTTACAGAAACTTAGTTAATAATTATTATGTCAGTGAACACTGTCAGTCACATTAACAATTAGGGGAATAGTGTCAGGGTTGGACACTTGTCAGGGTTGGACACTTGGCTTTTTTTAAATAAGAACACTAGCGCCACCTGTGTGCGTACGTGACGAATCTTCTAGTAGTGTAACCTAACTTTTTGTGGCATTACATTTTTGGAGAATCAAAAGTAGCGTCTCCTGTGACTTCGGTGCAATCGAAGAGACAAAAAAAGTTTTGTTTGACTTGTGAATAAACCTAAAAAATGTGTAAAAAAAGCAAGAATTCGACAAGGTAAGCTAATTGAATGTATTGTGAGGTACATAATTTAAGAAGAAAAAAAGTGAAAAATCGAATCGCGACACATGTCTGGTTATGGTTAGCACAATTCGAAAATGATGCTTCTACATAGTTAGGGTTGGACACTTTATACAGTTAGGGTTGGACACCCATATTAATTATGAATTTGACACAATTTATAAATAAATATACAAATAAATTTTATTTTATTGATATTTCAGTGCAAAATTGTGCCAAAGATATTAGAAAAATAATACTTAAATTGCATAAATTTTGTTCATCATTTCATTGAGTTATTTGGAACAATAAAGCGTTATTTTTTGTAATTTGAGTTCATTCCTTTTTTAAACCCATGAAGCTTTACAATTTGTAAATAATAAGTAAAGATAAACATGAAAAAATAAGAATAAAAAACATTACAAATGTTATTTTACGTTCTTACCAATAATGCGTTTCGATTTTCAAAAAGTGTCCAACCCTGACTGAAAAGTCCAACCCTGACTAGATTTTTTTTTTTAAATGTTTATAACTTTTTTAATTTTGGACCAATCAATTTACGGTCCACAGCAAAAGTGTTCCTCTTTTGTAGATCTTTCCACCCATATATCACAATTGACTGAATTTATCTAAACAAAATATTTATAAACAAAAAACCAATACTGTGTCCAACCCTGACACTATTCCCCTAATTAAATATTGCACAAATAAATAAATAAAAATAAATAATAAATTATGTCATTTGATAAAAGTCAAGTATACAACAAATCTAAAAAATACAAATAAAACTTAAAGGGAAGAAGTAGTACATAATAATGAAGATCTGTTGTAGGTGGCGTAACTTGATAATAAGTGATTAATTATATATAGGCTGATATTATATATTATTTAGTACTTTTTAACAATAAAAATGAAGTTATTGTAATTTTAATTTAGTCATTAACATATCTTACAAATAAAAATATAATTAAAATGAAGGGAATATGTGAAGAATAAAAAACAACAAATTGGTAACATGATTGATTTTTTTATTACTTTTTTTTCAGTGGTTAGAACTAAATAACATAAACGCATTATCCTCAGTATTCACTTTTTTTTTTTTTTTTTTTTTGTTAATAATTATTCGTAATATTATTCTATATAGCTATAACGGTGAGGCGCGCCCCCGAAATTGGATTTGCCCTTTCGGTTTACTTTACACTTGTGAGAGCCAAAAAAACTTCGTTTAAAGTATATATTTGTAAAACGTACACTTCAAGAAAGCTCGCTAGGTTTATGTAATTATAGGTTATGTAAATTTTTTCTACTTTACAATTCATTCTTAATAGATTTTAAAATTAAAAGGAATTGTTTTTTTTTTTTGAAAATAATATTTTTACAGAATTTTAAGTGATTAATTTTTCATTTTGAAAAGAAAGCACCACCTTTTTTACACTTTATTGTTTTTTTTTCAAAAACCGAAAAAAAATCTTGTTTTTAGAACAATTTCGAAAATTATTTTTGTTTTATTTCGAAAATTGATCCAAATAAAAAATGGCATTGAGTGCAATTATTTATTTTGTTGAGAAAATCTCGAAACCATGCCCAGGGGCGTGACTTGTATTTTTTTTAACCCTTCTATAAAGGGCACTTCTACGAATTGTGTAATTTTTTTTTTTCATGTATATATAAGCGTGTTTGCGTATTAACGTGTGTTTGTGTATATTTTTTTGTGATCACTTACTGTCTAGATTATTTTCTTTTTATATCAATATATATATATATTTTTTATATATTATATATAATATATATATATGTATATATGTATATATATCTAACAACAATATAATATTATCATCGTTATCATTTTCGTCGATTTTCATCTTAATCTTACATAATAATATATTATGTTCAACAACAAATTCATTCGTGTACCAGAACCATTGTATTTTTTTTCTTATTATTATTATTATTATTATTATATATAATTTACTATGCACGCACTACTTTATACAATTTAGGGATTTCATTTTTTCGAATTTTTCTCAAATAATCTATATATATATTTCAAAAAAAAAAATTTCCTCATACAAGGAAAAAAATAGTGCTTCTAAGGAGGTGCTTTTTCACAAATTTTATTACACACACATTGTTTTATTTTGGTTATTATTCTAATTTTCTGAGCAAGTTTCGTGCGATTTTCGGACTCAAAAAGAGATCTGAATATCTTTCTTGTTCTTTTAAGTTATATAATTTCATGTGTGAGTTAAAATTATATTTTTCAAATTAATCCAAAATTATTTTTTTTTTCTGACAAAAATATTTTTTATTTTCTTAATCGGACTTTGTACGCAATTTATAAATATTGCGGTAAAATTTTTTTTTTTTCTTTAAAATTGCACACAAAGAATTTTGAAGCCCCTTTTGTTATATTTAACATTTTTATATATAAGTCGAAGAATTCTTTTCACAAAAAGTTGTTGCAAGTATAAGCAAAAGAAAAATTGTTTATTCGTTGCTTTTTTTTTATTCCAAGTAATTCTAATTGCATTATATACTTATTACGTAAAAATTATAATATAAAAATATTGTGTCCTATTTTCATTTTTTTTTATTATAAATTTTACATGAATTAATTATTATTATATTAATTAATATTATTATTAATAATAATAATTAACTTATAAAAATAATTATTTTATAGAAAAAAAATTTTTTTATACAAATTTTTTATCTATTATTTCTTTATATATATATATATATATTAATTAAAGGGGCGTTCACTAGAAATCCTAAAAATCGCACTAGTCCGCTCGAATTTCAGAAACTTAGTTAAAAAAAAAAATGGAATTTTTTTTATCTAGATATATTTTGAAAATTAAAAAAAAAATTGTTTCCCCGCCATGACATTTCTTTCAATTTTTTTTTCACACATACACACACACGCGCTCTTTTTTGCCAGGCTAGCTTTTTTTTTATTTCCTCATCATTTTCTGACACACATATATAGCTAAATTCTAATTACTTGTCCCTTGGCATTCTTAAATCTCGCTTATACCATACCTCACTATTTTTATATGTATATTTATATATAA